CTGGGCTGCTGAGAGAGGTGCTGCTGCCTGATCTCAGCCTCCTCCAAAATATGGAAAGATGATAAGCATTTCTTACCAGTGCATATGTAACTAGAGATTAAAGACCGTCTCATTCAGATAAAAAGAAAATAGCCACTTCTGATGCATTTTAAAGTACATTAAAAGCACACAGAGATGGTCTGCAAGTAAAGCACAGAAGCAAACCTTAAATGTGCAATGCTGCTTAAACCCATCAGCCCATTCAATTTTCTTTTTCCAGATTCTTGACATCATAAATGTAGCAGAAGCTGATGATGTCCCATGACAAAGAAAGTCAAGCTATTTCAAAAAGTTATGTTGTCAAAAAAGCCTGTTTTGTTTTAAAAGTCTTACAACTCAAGAGACATGAGATACCCCCGAGTCATCTAATACCGTAAGAGGACTGGACTTTCTGAATGTATTCGTTAGGAGACCTCTGAGAGCATTTCTCAGAGGCCATCAGTAGCTGAGGCTCGAGCTGCAGGACATCTCTGTGGTGGCGCTGCCCTTGGCTCATGCAGGGCTGTGACAGCACCAGCGTGGGGAGAGGCAGCCCCACATCCACTGTGGGTACGGTGGAGGGGGGCAGCAGCCCAAGCACTGACCAGTGCTCCCTCTCTGGCACAGCTCATTCCTCCTCCAAATGTCAGAAGTGGATGTAAGGGCAGAGAACTGCCATGGAGAAGGTAGGATAGGCCATGGCACAGCAGGTAAGAGATCTGGGAAATCTTAGGATATTTTATCTCGCATTCAAATAGAGATAAAAATAGCTTTTATCTGAACTCTGCTTGAAAACCCGACAAGAAGCAGAGCAGTATGTGGTGAATAAACAACAGAATTACTATAATCAAATTATACTGTAAAAGAACAAAATTTAGTAAAGACTTGGTCTCATAAAAAAAAAGTATTCGTTTTATGAAAGAAGAAAAAAGACCTGAACCTGTTGAAATAATGTCAAGAAGCTAAAATTATACTACATGGAATAAAGGACTGCATCCTCTATGTAATCACAAGTAGATCTATTGCTAAGTTCCCATCCTCTATCAGAAACCAAGTTCATTTCTTTTTCCTTCAGTTTTATTTACCAACTTTTCCTGTTGGAACTTGCCATTTTCTTAGTCAATGGGTTGCTGTTATATTCAGAGAGTTTTTCATAGTCAGTCTGAACTGGGGTTGTACATTCCATATATTAATGATTGGTTCATTTCTAGTGGAATGTTTAAAAATTGTTTCCTCAATACACCATTCCTGCCTTTTTTTTTTTTTTTTTTTTTTTTTTTTTTTTTTTTTTTTAAGATACTGGAAACTAAGCCGTGAAATCCTACTTTTCTGTACACAGACAGAAAATAATGGGGACACACACACAACAACAACAAATACAGTAAAACTTGCTCTAAATTTGAGGATTCATTTGTTTGGTTGTTAAAGAAAGCAACTGTGGTAACATTGCACAGTATAATTGGGGTTTTTCCCCTCTTCTTCCTGGACTGAAAGAAAGGCTAAGCAGCAATGCTTTAATATACTGGGTCTACTGTCATGCCTGCTTTTTCTAGCCCTAGGAGTTACAGTTGCTTCAGTTCATACTTTCTGTATCCATCTTATCATTATTTGCTAGTCTAAGTAGTTTAATTAAACCCTTTAAAATGTGGTATTTATTACTGCCATGTCCAACTATTTTTCATCTTCATTTACTTAATGAGCATTTAATAGGTAAGAAAATTCCTTATCGATTTTAATTGAAAGCCTTACTGAAGATTATTGGGCTAAAAAGCTCCTACTTGTTTCATCACTGAAAGTTTATGGAAGGTGATCCGAGGCTGACAGTGGATCAAGTGACCAAAAAAACAAGAAGGAATATTCTTCTACAACATTTCTGTCTTGTTGATTAATTTTTAAAAGCAATTAAAGAGTTTAATGCAAGAATGAGATTTGGTTTTAGTCTAAACTCAATGTGCTTTGAAGAGATGCACAGCACACCTGGCCATTTATCATGTATCAATCACTATCATTTATTGTTTACTGGAAGATTCTATTAAATATTCACATGAAGGTCCACAATGTCCACTTGTCTTGTTCAATATATCAGAGCATTAGGGGAAAGAAAACGAAAATCACATGGTACTGCATCTTCCTACATTTTGTTAAAACCATTGAATGAACTGCTGGTAACGTCCACCCCTTTAGGCAATCATTTAATTAAATCTTGGCAGCGGATACAAAGAGTCTCACAGCTTTAAACAGGATAGCATAATAAGACTTGTAGCCTAGAGAGAAAAAGCCCCAACCAAACCTGAGCCAATGAATTACAGTTTGCTTATTTTATTGGTAGCTGTAGTATTTCAGGGGGAAGTGGAGCTGAAAAATTGCGTTGCTTAAGGTCTTCCATAATGTGTCAGCAGAAAGACTTAACACATCCTTGCTGACCTGTCACTCTTATCTTCTGTTGTCCACTTGTGCTCTGAAAGCTGCAACAGGCCATATACTTGTATTTCTTATTATAGAAAGAGCTTTTATATTTTACTCTATTTTCTCCAAGAAGATTAAACCTGTATTTGTGGGAAGGTGATGGAGCAGCTCATCCTGGAAACCATTTCCAGGCACATTAGGGATGAGACCATTTATTTGCACCACTCAAAGCCAGTTTCTCACATCTCCTTTCTCAGCTAAAAAAGGCTCATGGGTAGCTCTGAAACTGATTTCTCACCTGCTCTGTAAAGCACTTGGAAAAGCTCAAGTTTTACAGAAAATGCAGCAGCAGTTGCCAATACCCAGCACCTGCAAGCTCACCTAAACCAGTCTTTTTCACAGCTCCTCTGTCCTCTATTTCAGATGTGAGTGTGGGTGTCCATCCCAGGGACCCGCTGGGGGCAGTGGCTGTACCAAGCCTCTGCAAACTGGCTGCAACTAAGACCCCAGTGATACCTGGACTAGCCAGTTTCCCTAGGGAAAGGAGGTGTCAAGCCCCAGGTTTCAGAATTCAGTGACTAAACCTTGAGAATGGTGATGGTATCAATAAATCCCTGTTGGAGATCTGCAAGACCTGTGTGATAACCACAGGAGCTGACAGCTGTTAACATAGTCCCAGGTAGCACAGATGACACCCCAGGGTACTAACAGCAGTTTTCCTGTAGCTGGCAAAGCCAAAGAGGTGGGTGGAGCTGATAATGGCACTGTGGACTGGACACTCCCATGCCCATTGCAGTGCTCCCCACAGCTGAGGTTTCCAGCCGCTGGCCAGCAGCAACCAAGGAGAGTAAAACCACACACAGAGGAATCCTGCAACAACTTTGACTGGGAGTCTCTGCAACTGGCTGTTTTGTGCATGTTCCTTTTCATCCCCTGCTCCAAGCACTCTCACAAGGATTTCTCCCAGGCTCAAAATACCTTGCCAGCTATGGGGAATCATTCTTGGCCATATTTCCTGCTAAGGACTCATGCTCTGCAGTTGTATACATTTCAGAGGGCTGCAAGATGCTGACCATCTGAGCCATCCTCTTGAGCAACAGCACCACAATCACCTTTAAACAGGGGCTGTAAGGGCTTCTTGCTGCTCTGACATGGCTGGGCATGTCCAGAGATGGGAACCCCAGTGACTGCATGGTCTGAGGAGCAGGAGCACCAAACATCATGGTCTGGGAAACAAAACATCAAGGAGAAGGAAGAACCTCCACGCTGTCATCCTGGCATAATTACTGAAATAATGCTGGCAGCTTCCACACTTGGACAATGGAAGCACAATGGAAGTGCATAAGATCTGCTGGAGAGGTTTGCACTATCGAGTAGCAAATCCTCTAGAGATGTCTGGTACAGCAGAGCACAGTCACTGCCTGCTTGGGATGGGGCTGTTCCAAATCAAAGAACATTCAACACCAAAATTAGTATTCTCAGCAGCCTGAGGATGCTCTGCAACAGGTCTGTTGCAGGCCCTGAGGAGCTCTGCAACAGGTTTCAGTGAAATTGATTACTTCAATTAATACAAAGGACTTCATACTGCAAACACTGCAACAGGATATTCTGTATAACAAAAGCAAACAAGTTCTTTTTACATTATAATATTGAAATAAAAAATAAGAATTTCTTACCCAGACTTTCCTGAGGAAGTTTTCACAGGAGATACACTCGTAGGTTTTCCTGTTTTCTTCGGTGTTTCTGAAGAGGTCTCTGCAGATCATTATGTTTTAAATTTACTTGCCATAAAACATGATAATCTACATAAATTCCCAAACTTTATAAATGTAGGGATCAAAGATACTGATACAAGGAGCAGTGTGTACTATCATTCACAGGTTATACTACAAATAACCTTTAAAAGAACTTTAAAAGAACCTTCTAAACATAGACTAATACAGGTCATGATTACCAGTAGCAATGGTTCCTAGAAAATGTATTATGTGGTATCCTGCTTAGAGGGAACTATTTTAGGGATGGGGTGATGTTAATTTTAAAGCTGAATAAACAAGGGCATTCGGAACAAACAAAACACAAAGATTTGTACCTCATCTAAATGGACTTAAGGTAAAAAGGATGGAATAAATCTCAAAGTTGAACAATAAAGGTTATGGAGCTCTTTATGGGCAAAAAGAACCTCAAAGTCAGACTCTATATTTTAGGTCTATATAGATAGTTCTGTTTGAGGCCCTCGAACTGAAAACACGTTTGGGTCCCTCCTGAGGACCCAATGAAAATCTCTGTGCATACAATCCACACAAGGGATCAAGATAATGACCAGGAAAGCCATTCACTATCAACAACATCCCCATGGAAATTTTTGTCCTCTCTCATTTATAGCAAGTGTTGTATAGAAATAAGTTTAGGATTCCATGTTAGGACTTGCAAAAAAAAGCCCAGCAAAAAAAGTCGAATTTGATAATTCTGCATTATTCTATCAGAAAGCAAGATTCCAAAACCTAGGATCTACTTTAAAAAATGCCTCCCCGACCTAGAATACCTCAGAGTTTGTTATAAGAAGCACACAAATATGATTAAATGAGCTCTTTGCCTGGCGTATGTTTCTCTTTTTGTATTCTCTCCAGAAGTGCTAACACAGCAGGTGTTAATGTTGGAGTTTTTCTCTCAGTCAATGATTGCTTGTCCTAGTAAAACAAGATGCACAATCATCACTCAACTCTAGCACCGAGCTCATAGACCCCAGTGGAAACTCCCCAAATTGCTGTTGAAGCAGTGCTAGGAAGGAACAGGCCAAAGGTCCACCCTCTCACATTTGTAAGCCATTTTTGCTGCTCTGAATAGGTGAAAGAGTAATAAGATTTTTCAACATCTTAAAAAAAAAAAAAAAGAAACCAACCAAAATCCCCCCCTAACCAGCAGTAGTCTCCTAAAGGAACTGTTGATATTATTCTCTCTTCTATAACAAAACAGGATCTCACTTCAAGACACTGATGATTAGCTGTACTTTTGTGATTCCCCGAAGGGGCTCTGCCCTTTGGCCTTGTGTCTAGTGACCAGGGAACAGCAAACCTTCCAACAGCAGGGAGCCCTAAAGAACTGGTAGAGCTTTCCCAAAGCACTGCAAAAGCTGTCAGATTTCTGATTCTCTACAGCTGTTACCCTGGAATATAGCTGCAGAAGAGTCTGAAGTTGTTGTCCCAAGTTTTTTGTACTGTCATATTCAGTCACTTTTTTAGTCAGAAAAAGAGCTCCAGTTATGGGCAACTCCCAGATGATATTCAGCATGCGTTTTGTTGTAAGAGTTCATCAACTTCCCTGGAATTTCAATTCTTGTATTAATATAGGCCTTTATTGGCCACAAACTCTAGTTTAGCAAATCTCCTTCCAGGACAAGACAAGTGTGATTGTGTTTGCTTACCAAAGCCTGTCTGGTTGAGTTTGCAGCATGGCTGACAGCTTGCTTTCCACAAAACTCCATGTCCCTCTGTCACGGAGCCTCAGCAAACCTTTGAGAGTATAAAGGACACTGTATATAGTCTGACAGAAAAAATCAGCTGGTGTCACAGTTTATACGCTACAGGAGAAGAATCCCCCTGCCTTTCTGGAACACTCAAGATGCAGTTCAACACCTGGCCCCACCAGCAGGTGTTTATGATGAATTCCATTCAGCTTCCAAAGTACAAACTTAGCAGAACTACAGAACCTTCCTTTAGAAAAACACTTGGGACACTAAAATGCTGCTTATGGTATTAACCCTGCAAACAGTAATTGCTTTTATTAATCCCCAGGAATAAATCCTGGGGATTAATAAACGCAGATTTTATTATCTTTGTCCTAGTCCTACTCCTTCCCAACCTCACAATTGACTAGTCTGAGCAGAGCTCCTCAAGAAGCATGTGAATATCCAGGCCTCTGGCTGCAGGGAGTGTCTGAGCCCGGTGTGAAGTGCTGGAGGATAGTGGGAAAGGCACCTGCATGCACTGTGAACAGCTGGATGATCTGCTCAGCCTGTAGCAGAGCTCAAAGAGGAGGTGGGGAGGCCGAGAATTATCAGAGAGTGCGAAAGAGATGTAGACTCAGAATTGCACCCTTCCATCCCTGAGAGAAATGCAGTGGATGGAAGATCAGCAGGAGTCTGAGGAGCTCCACCGCTCTTGCCATCAAGTGAAGAAGGAGACTCAAAAGCAGGAAATGGAAACAGGTCCCCGCTCAGGGGGGCAGAAGAATTCCCTGTTGGCTTCCCCTGCCTTCCCAGGGGCCCTTACAGAATAGCTGTGAATCCTTGGACCCCAAGGGTCAGGCAGATGACAGAGAAGAAGCTCTGTCTGGGGGGTGTCCCACATCAGTGCAGTCAAGCAGAGGGATAACAAGTACAGGTAATAAAAGAAGGGTGGCTGTCGTGGCTGCCTTGCTCCTGAGGGGAACTGAGTGTCCTGTATGTCAGCCAGACTCATTCCATGGGGAAGTCTGCTCCTTGCTGGAGCCCGGCTAAGGGATATTGCCAGGAGACTCTCTGCACTAATTCAGCACACAGATTCCTACCCACCAGTGGCTGTCCAGGTGGGCAGTGACAAGGACACTCGGTCATAGGTTGGAATCAATGAACTCAGAGGTTTTTTCCAACCTAATTGATTCTGTGATTTAGGAAAACATTGCTGAAGCAGTTGTGCCCCATCAGCTGAGGCACATCCAAGAGCCAGGGTTCTGGGTGTGAAGCAGCATTATGAAGAACATGAAGTGGTGCTTTCTAAAATCCCTTTTGACAATATTACTGTCCTGATTCTGCTAAAAGCTCTTCAGCAACTGTTATGGCAGGTACAGTCCCACTCATTGCAATGAACAATCAGCGTTCAGGGTCAATGCAGTCACATTCAGCCATCACACTGCCTCTGATGTTCTCAGACCCTTTCCTCCGTGGCCAGTGCCTTTTACAAAAGCGGGCCGAGCGTCCTTACCTTAATACTAAAGATACAGTATGCTTACAAATTATTTCTCTCAGTAACAATACTGAAAATATGGCCCAAACAGCCACCAGGAGAGTGGGCAAAATGGTTCTGAGCACAGGGGAGGGGAGGATGAGACAGGGCAGATTCCTGGCTTCAGGGGTGCAGCAGGGACACCTGGAACTTAAGGGGAGAATGGGGAATTTTAGGCTCTATTTGGAGGAGGATGAGACAAAACTGAAATCTTTCTTTCCTTCCCACAATCCATGTACTTTCTCACCAGTCCTGTAGTACAGGATATACAGTCCTGTAGTATAGGATATACACCCTCACTAGGCCATTCAGCAATTTTCCTTCCTAAAAAGCATTTAGGAAGACAATTAGTTGTGGAGAAAAGAATCCAATTCCTTTCTCCACAACTGCTGCTGCTCTTGCACAACTTGGTTTCCTCCAAGAGGGAGAAGGAAAGGGAGGGTCTGCTCTTAGAGCTGGTAAAGTAAGACCAGAAGTAACAGAGTCATTAAAGAACTCAGCAGCGGAAATTCAGAGAGAAGCTTGACCCCAATCAAGGAAGGAAGATGTGTCCTGCTGCTTATATTGCATTGCTGGCATCTAGGAGAGGAGAGAGGCTGGAATCATGGCAGCTGCTTTTGCCATCAGTCATGAATTCCTGCTCTGGAAGCGATCCTTCTCCCTTCTGCTCTCTGCCTTCCTGAGGCAGGCAGGACTCCACTGACACCCTTTCCAAGATTTCTCCCACATTTTATAAATCACACCATCATGAGATATTGTCTGTGTGTGCATCTTTTTGGATCTGTAACTTTTAACACAGGGAGCTCTGTGCAGAGGCTGAACTTGGTATTAAGTAGTAAACCAGACCTGTCCTTTCCTAAATGCCTTTCCCTGTCTGCAAAGCTGGCTGGAGAAGGGGACAGTGGAAAAGGCACCCCGTGGGAGTGGGGAAGCCTGTGTACACTACTTGTTTTGAATGGAGAGAGGATGTATTTCACCCTCTGGTATAGGATAGTACAGCTATCCTGACTCTCCTCCTGAAGTGGTAATATCAGACCCCAAATGTACTGCTTTTAAGTTTAAAATGTATGGTTAGTTTTCTCTTCCTCTGCCTCTTCCATTGCCTCTGCCTTGCATTCCTACTCAATTCAATCCAAAAAACTGAGCTGAAAATTAGAGTCTATGGAGAGAATTAATGTTCACATTCTGTTGTGCCAGGGGTGCAAAACTGAATCCCATCTGTGGTTAATAAGATGTCACTGCCTTATCAAAGATCAGTACAAGAACCACAATAAGAAAGCAGACCAGGAATGTGGATTGGTGCTTGGTGGGGGAGAAGGTGGAAGAAGGTAGCTCTCCTTCACAGCTTTTGTGACCTGCTTGGCTGATTGAATAGTATTAAGAAAATACTCATAATGCTGCTTCCAGTTAGATTTCTTCCCTGACTGTTTCTGTAATGGAAATAGAAGACAATACAAACAACACTTCCCTCTTGCAAGGGACAGAAATATCTTAGAGCAAGGGTTGGTTTTTTTTGGGTTTTTTTTTTTTTTTTTTTTTTTTTTTTTTTTTTTTTTTTTTTTTTTTTTTTTTGTTTTTTTCCTGAGGGAAAAAGAAAACATTAGAAACAAAAGAAATTTGAGAAATTTCCATTTTTTGAAAGGCATAGGGAAGCTGGTACAGCCTTTCACTGTCTATTGACAGCACAAGAAGGAGGATAAAAAACCCAATGCACTCCAACAAAATACCATGGTTATGGCAGACATAAGAGCACTTAGGAAGAATCAGAAAATCAGAATTATTAGAAAAGACACCTTCCCTTCTCCCTTTGTCACATTCTTTTAACTTCAAACCTATGTGCACTTCTCTTTCTTCCCACAATTGATTTTAAAGGACATTTTACAACAGCAGTTGACCAAATCAGTAGTGAATTGGCATCTCTGGATAAAATAATATCCTTGCATGTCCATGCGTACTCACTTCCTCCCTAGAAAAATTACTTGTTCCAGTAAGAGCTTAAGCATCTTTTTCCTCCATCTCTGGTAAATAAGTTCAGCTCAAACCCATTTTTAAACCCTTCAGTAAAACGGCAGTGAATCCCTGCAACTTCATCTGTGCAAGGGCAGCTCTCAGGTTCAACCTTGGGCATTCATGCATCAACTGTCTTGAATCATGCTCTCTTTCAGATTTAGGTGAAGAGAAATCTATTAGAGATTCACCTTGCCTTTAAAAAATATATTTGAACATTTACTCGAAGAGCAGAGACACTTATGTGCCCAGGGCAGGCATGACATCTACTGATTTGGCTCTTCATATTCCCAAACACCAGCAGCACCGGGAGGGGGAGGAACGAATCTGGCACCCAGTCAAGCACATATGTGACACTCATCCACAACATCCAGGCTTTGTCCTTGGAGGAAACAATAGTGTTACTGGATGAAAGACTTCACATGGAGATAACACACACACCAGCTTTAACTATATCCTTTGCAGGGACTGTCTCTTCACAGTGGTGACTTCTGTTGCCTATAGTCTCTGTCTCAAAATGATGAAGGGCTTGCACTTCCTGTTGAAGGCTTCCTTGGAACACTGGATCAGCTGGGATGCAAAGAAAAACTGTTGCTTATGTGTTGGAGTGATGCTTTGCTAATGATGCTTTCTTACCCAGGCTTTAAAATTACTTACATCCAGGAGCAGGGAGCTGCAGCAGTATTTATTTTGGGTTCAGTTTAACTCCTGAAGAACTTCATCAAAACTTCCAAAAGCTGTCCAAGTACAGCTGCGGTTCAACACAAATAAGAAATAGAAGCCATTTCCAGTTTGTTCTGCTCAGGAACAGACTGGAGAGCAGTCCAAATGATGACATGCAGACAAGAACAGATTGGGTCTGTGAACAGGAGCTGTCCCATTGGACTCCCCCCTCGCCCCCCCCCACACCTGGTTTTCTTTATTTCTTAATTTCTTAATTAAGATGGAGACCAGTCTGATCCTGTTCAAGAGCCAATATTTTCATTATTAGTTCTCTGAGTTTAGATGTATTCCAGAGTGGGGCCTCCCCTGACAAACAGCAGTGCTGCCCATCCCACCAACACCACTGAAAGAGCCACAGCTCCAGGCTGAATGGGAGCAGCTGCTTACCAGCACCTGTAACCTGACACACAGAAGGAAAACGAGGGATATAACCTGCAGCTGGAAGCACAGGGAAATTTTAAGTAGATACGATATCCAGTGCCAAATTTGTATAAGGGACATGCCTCACAACAAATGAGGTTGTAAGGTTCAGAAATGTCTCAGATTTTAGCATCACTCTCCTGCAACAGGACGGGCAATGCCCTTTGTGAGGAACACCATGGAAGCAAGGATCAAACTAAAGCCTCTTTCCTGCACTGTGAGTTGCATGAGTCCATCCACAGCTGGTAAAGACCCTGTTCCTATCTTATTTTGCTTACTCCCCCTTTCTAGTTCTCAGTTATTCTTTTGATCTTCTTAATAATTTCTCTATGCTGTCCACTCTCTTTCCATAGGAATTAAGCAGACGCTTAAGCAAGGAATTTTGGTTACAGCTCAGCTGGACTAAAACATACCTCATTCTACAAAAACACACACACTTCCAAATCCTCATTTGCCTCTGAACCTTCTACTCCTATGACTCAGGTCCTTACATTCTGTTTCTAGACATTTTTGACAGCAAACTTGAGAGGAATGTTCCTCTGCAGTACTGGAAGTGCAGCAGACACCCGTGCCTTGCTCAGTGAGGAGCAAACCAGTCCTGCATCACCAGGGCATGGAGAGCCACTGTAAGGAGCTGGATCTCACCCTAGTCATGGTGACATAAAACTTGTCACCTCTCTTACAACACACAGCTCTCTCTTTTCAAACTATCTTGCTCAATAAAACAATTATGCTCTTCACAAATCTTGAGATACCAAACATGGGACTACTAACGCAAAGTAATTGCACCTTTGTCTTGCTTCTCGCAGTCACTCTGATTTCAGTGTATGTTTTGTTTTGTTTTGTTTGGGTTTTTCCTTGCCAAATCAGGTTTTAGCACTATTTCAGGGTTGATCTGATCTACCACAGAGACACAGGATCAGTAACGCAAACTGAAGAGCAGAGGGCTATGTGCAGAGTCCCACTCCTTGCAGAAAAACCCTGCATTTGGGTTGTGCCAGGCAAACGGTGCCATCAGGCATTCAGTTTGTAATCCAGGGATCAGGGAGGTCAAGGGGAATCTTTTCATTCACTTCAGCAGGCTTTGGAACAGAGCCTGGTGCCAACATTATGCTGTAAAAGGAACTACTTATCAGATGGTTTATTAGTCTATTTTTTCCCAAGAAGACTGAAACAACAAATTCAGCCTAAAATCCTGGAGCAAAATAGGGAGCTGCAAGTTAGTAATTTATGCCTCACCAAGAGAAAATACATTCTTTTAAATTCAGTGTATAGTAAACATGGTTTTGGACAAGCAGGTAAATTAAGCCAGTGAAAGACTGAAGATGAATTCAGTGTGTCTGTGCACAATAAATTCTCTAATCAAGTTTACTAATGAAAGCAGTCACTAGATAATTTGCTGTTTAAACTTGTTCAACCCACTTCTCTACCAGCAGTCACCTCCTCCTTCCCTCAGTGCTCATTACCCATTTCAGCTAAATGCATTGAAATCCTCATTAAAAAGAAGTTTTTACCACAAAATATGCAAAGTGTTTTCCACGGGTTGTAGAAGGAGCCAGACCTTGATTTCAGGCTGCTGTGCAAAATGCAAAGCATGCAGGAGCCTCGATTACACAGCACAGGGTGTCATGACTGCGGCAGTCGGCATTTGGACAGGGCTCTTGCTGGAACAGTACCTCATTGTCAGAAAGGGACATCTCCATAGGATTACAGAATATTCTGAACTGGAAAGGACCCAAGAACTATCAAACCCAACTCTCCCGTTGCATACCAGGCTTCCCTTTTGCAGAACTCCCTCCTCATTTATCCTGCTCCAACACAGCACAAGCTCTCCTTCGCTATGACAGGCAGCGTTCTGTTTTCCACATGACTGCTTAGGTACGTGCTTTCACTATGACATCACAGTTGGCAGAGGAGGTGGTGGAACAATACTTAAGTTCATCACTGCCTAAATTCAGGGCAGGTGACCTGCACCCACCCCGATTTATGGTTTGGATATCAGCTAGTAGATACCCAGTAACGGCTTAGGTAGAAAATGTCATGCAAAGTATGGCACGACCTCCATTATTAAGGTGGAATGCTTCCATGATACGCTAAACAGCATTCCAAGATGACCTTACTTTGCAGGTGTTAAGTTTGTTGAGATTTGCATTTAAATCACCTTTTTATTTTTGGAAAAAGTAGGTGTTGAAGTTACATGGAAAGTAGTTTCAGGCCCTTCTAACTCCAAAGACAATCACACTCATTTCAGAGCAGGGACATGACTTCTATTAAACAAAAACAGCCTTTAGAAAAACTTCAGGAAAAGGACAATTCTCTTCATTTGACTTGCAACCTACAGAGGTACTTCATTAAATTAACTTCTGTAAGGACTTCTCGTGTAAGTGTTCTTTACCTCTGCTTGCTAAAACAAAAGAAATCCTTGTCTTGCTAAGCAGATGAATGACTGCTTTTGTTTTTTCCTTTTCCTTGGGATTTTACCACATTCCAAAGCACTGTTAAGGTTACTGCAGTGTTTCACTGATTACAAGTGAAGAGGAACAAAGCAATTCTGTAATCTTTTTGACTCCTTTCCTATTGCCTCTGTTTAAATGTCTTTCTTCTTTTGTTTCCAAGCACAGCTGTCTGTCCTTGGTCCAGACTACAGTCTTCATTTCAAGTGCCTTCCTTTGCCTCTCCCACTTCTTTATTCTGTTCTCATCCCCTCTAGATGTTTGGTTTTCCTTTTGTTTTTGTTTTTATTTTAAAGGACTTTAGGTATAAGCACAGCACCACTGAATCAGTGACAAGAAGCCTAGCAAAGAACGTGTGCACTGGCTTTAGTAAGACTGTCCTTTTTGGTAAACCACAAAATCATATTCCACCCCAAAGCACTGAACAGCATCTGTTCCTTACTTGTTCCATTGAACTTATTTCCTGGTATCTGACTCACCTCAACAGACTTGCTTCTCTGATTTCCTTTTCTGTTTTGCTGTCAGGAGTCACGAGTACTGGGTGGTCAGTGTTCCAGTTACCACAGAATCAGTGACTATACAATTAGCAATTAAGACACAGGCAGATCCCGCTTAAGCTTGTCAAACACATGAAAACTAGTATAAGGCATCAGCTAAAGGAAAATGCTGAAACTTTTTCTAATCTTACAGATAATTTCTATTGATTCTGTTGACAGACAATTCTAGAAAATGAAGGCTTAATCTAGATGTGTATACTGTACACGATACTTTAGCTTTCTGAGCAGTGACCAAGACTTGCAGATTCAGATGCCTCTTCATTCCCTTCTCCAAAATCATGACACTTTACCAATCAAAATATATTATAAAAGCTTTCTTCCAATAAAAACAAGTATTTTGAATTTTCTGTACATTAAAAGACTTTATCAGTCTTAGCTTGTCTCCATCTAGTATACACAAAACTATTGAAGAATATTGAAGATGCTTTGAATTCACCAGTAGTCAGGCCACTGCACTGATGTATTGGTTACCATGTCCCTTCCAGTAAAAGTTAACTTTTCACATAAAGGCAGAAGATTTATGTCTGTAATATACAGACATAAACCTGAGGGGCTTTTTTATGAATACAGAAGGTTTCAGGGCTGACTACAAATCCTATTCATTTCCCTCACATTATGAACCAGTCACTATCAAAATAATTCATATTCACAGCATAAACATTTAAGTTCACACCAAACCTACAGATTTTGGCCCTCAGCTCATCTTTAGGAAGTTTTTATAATAGTAATGGGTATTAAGTTTGTATTCCAACTAAACCAAGTTAAACACAAGACCTGAGGAAGGGTATTCTAGAAACACCAAGACGGTGACTATCTGCAACACACACTTTTTATCCAAGTATCTGCTGTTTGCTTGCCATCCTACTCAGACTGAGTACTTCCAGCAAAGCCAATTCCAATGGCAACATTAAGGGTTACTGACTACTGTAACTGCAACACTCCTTGTGACACATTTTATTTGCCAGAAATGTAAAACTCGGTTGGGTAACAGCGATGTCTAGCTGGAGAACAGCTTTTCAGACGCCTTTGTTTACAAAAGGCTCCCATCATAGTACCAAAACAATAAACAATCTACCCAAAAAAAACCCCAAGGAGGAGTGAGTGTAAACTCCTTGACATACAAAACTGTATTATAGCAAGGAACTATATTCAACCATCAGTATAAGAGAGAAAAAGACATAAATGAAAATACTGTTTGTAAACTGAAATAATTTAATAGAATAATCTAATCAGATCAAATCTGTAGGATTCTGCTGATTTGTTGAATACATTCAACAAATATACACATATAACTTTGTTCAGTGATAACTTGTATGAAAAATATTTGTAATTTTAAAACACTTCTACTGTAATGAAACTTTGCAGCAACTGCCATGTCACTCATGACAGAACAGATATCACCAATACATCATTTTATATAGAATTTCACTTCAGAAAAATGACAAGTTACTGGGTCTTGTGACAGTGAGATTTGAAGAAGCCTCTTTGATCAGGACTGGCAAAGGTGTGAGTTAGCAGTTTCCTTCTCAACACAAATGAAAAATTGGGGATATTTCCACAATAAGTTTCTCAGTTTCATCAGGACAGCTTCAGACCTTGCACATTTTGTTTCAGATTGAGCAACTCTTTCTCTTGTCTTGTTTTCTCCTGTTTGAAGGCCAGCTTGTTGGCTTTCTTCTCCATTCTGCGTTCCTGTACATAGGAATAATGAGAAATTTACAAAATAGGAATTGACATGCAAAATCAAACCATTCCAATTAACTCTTCAAGATTATGAAAGTAAGAGCAATCTGGACAATAGTATTATTTATGGCACTAATTATTAGTAGTCAAACTAATCCATGTACAACCAGGATAAACATCTTTAGTTAGCCAAAGCTTCTAATACGCTGGCAATTTTTGTTCCTAAGTAAGACAGCTAGGATTTCACTGTGGCCAATTAGGATTTTCCACATTTTTTTCAGATATGATGTTTCAGATCACACAAAGTGAGAAGTAACTATTTCCTTTGCTACTCTAGATTGCAAGGAAATCTGATGTTCCTTCAGCAGTTGTATCTGCAGTAGCGGCCACAGTAACAGACCCGAAGTTTTGATACTGGAAATCAGTAAGACAAAAGCGTGATGTTAACTTTCTTTCCAGTAGATTTTTTTTTTTTTTAAGAAGCAATAATTAGTCCTTCGAGACCATCAAGATTTTCCCACTACCTTCAGACATGACAAGTGAGTTTGTTTAAACAAAGTTTGTAAGACAGAATTCAGGTGACATAAAATGCTTTGCAAGGTTTTATTTGCAGTCAGGCGTACCTTTCGCTCCTCTTTTATTGCCTGTTTTCTGGCTTTGCGATACTCTTTGCTCTCAGCTTTGGAACGAGGCTGTGTTGATGCTTTTGGCAGGTCGCTGCCATTTATCATTTGCATGCGCTCCACCTGCTTAGCAGTGAGACCTTTCTGAGGCAGGATGTCTAGGGGAATTCCAGTCTTCTGAGAAATTTTTATTGGTTTGGGCTAAAATAGAGAGTGCATATGAATTAGTGGCCCCTCCAAGAAGTGTACGTGGCACTGCATTATCAGTGTAAAAACTTCAGATCCAGATTTAACAGTAATAAATGTTAAGTCTCCTCATACTATTTAACTCCCCCACA